CAATAAAAAGAGCAAAATCTTCATCCGAACTAGATAGCAGCATTGATCTTTTGATTAGGCTTCTTTGGCTTCCTTAGGGATACCTCAGTCTAGATACCAATTTATACGCCATATTGATATATTTAATGATTTTTAAAGGTAAAGTCCGATACCCAGTCCAGCTCGTAATTACCTGCATAACAGGGCAACTTTGAAAGTAATTTGGTTGATGCTAAAAGATTGGATGAAGTATAAGTTTAATTCGTGAAAGGTTCATCATTTGAATAAGAAAGCATAGAAAACAAGTCAACTAGAATATAAACTCTTAGCTTAATCCGAATACTCGTAAAGCTTCAAAATACACTATAGTAAAATACAATAATCACCTCAAGTGTAATGGCATCAACGAAGTCTACACATCCGCATCGTAGATGATAGTTGAGACAGAAATGCATTCCACGGGAACTTAAAAATGCTACTTAATCGAATGGAATTTGGTTTGTGAATGACTAGGTTTTACTGATTTAACTCCAGGTGAGTGTAAAACTGATATTAGTATGGAAAAAGAAAATCTTTCTCAGTATTTATCAAGTCACTACCTACTTACAATACCGAAAGAACAGAATTTTCTACGGTTTAATTTAATCAAAACTTAGACTAAAATGTTGCTATGATGTGTATTAATTTTTGGTAAAAGGCTGAAACAGTACCCAATAAAGCATCCTTGGTTATTAGAACATGGCGAGATTGTGAGAAAGGAAATGTCAGGGTAGCTTCTCTCGTAGACAGGAATGTCTATCAATTCTAATTCTCTATAGAGGAAATTCTAGTCCCTATCTAGCTTTATCTATAAAGACACTAAACTGCATTTGCATGGGATACATCGTAGCTGAATATGTTGAAATCTAGATGCTTTTATATTAAAAATATATCACAGTGAAATAGGGCAAAAGAACAATAATGAGTAAAATTTTATAAAGAACATTATGCTGCAGTGATGATAGGGAGGCTTACTCGTTTGCCAGAAACGTGTAAATAATATGGGAAATTGGATCCCTGATGGTGATGTCTATGCACAACACGCCGAAAGAAGGGTCTTGGTGGCTGGTTTGGATATGCTTATTTTCACTTGTTCCTTGAACTGGACTTAGCATCAAACTGGTCAACTGGCCAAGATAAACTGCTTCTATCAACCCCTCGACAAACTGAAATGAATAATTGAATAAAAGAGCAAATATATTGACAAATGAAGTAGAGAGTATGTAGGTAATCAACGCGATCAATCAATACAGGGAAATTAAAAAATATATATTCGAAAAGGGGTGAAGAAATAGTTAATCATGTGATAAACTAAGTATGATTGTTCACCTTGTCCATAGTTCATTCAGGAAAGTGGATAAAAAGCGAGGTAGACTTTGTGCTATGTTAAACCTTTAACCTAGTTTCTAGGGGCCTTTACTATGATTTGAAAATGGTTCATGAATTTCTGATCCAAGTGCTGCAAAATAATGCAACTTCTCTACTCATTATCTACATAACAAGTAAAGTGCCTGGGACTTAAATTATTATTGTCAACTATCCCTTTTACCTAATTTTAAAATAAAAATTTTCAAGGAACAAACTAGGCTAAATAAGCCTTTTTTCAAAGGTTTATAATAGGTTTGCTTCGCCCTTACTTATTTCAAATCGTATGCTTGAATGCAGCCCTACTGAAAACGACCATAACAAGTAAGCTTCAAAATAACCTTTCATAATATGGCATCTTGTGCCTTGAGCAATCCTAGGCTGTCCACCCTTTATTGCCTAATCGAGACTGAAGTTGGAAGTATCGAAATATAATGGACAAGAATTTATCCAGATTTTTACTTGTATTGCTTCTATTTCGCGAGAAAGAACTGGTGGTTGAATTTTCCTACAATGATTTAATTGGGCCTCACGGCTCAATTAAAAACCTATTTATGAAACGAAAATTCATACCTGTTGCCCCTACTAAGTTGCAAAAACGAGGTGAAACCGACACTATGTGGTTAAAGGATGCTGCGACAAAATAAAAGGCCAAATCATTTTGCTCCTCATAACTACGAAAATTCATTCGATTTATTTGACGCATATTTTCCTTATGACGGTCGCCATCATGTCCAAAGCTAATGAATGTCTTCGATGAGACTCCTGAGTAGTCAGTAAAATTTCTGGCTTCGTTTATCAACTGTGTTAGGGCCGGCCAACCAAGGCTATCCATCGTCATTACCATAGGAAGATAACCCTTTACGGAAAAACACAAGCCTCAGGGCTAAAACACATGGATTTCGTGTTATCACTAGAGTTGTTAGCCTTCGATAATACTAGTAGGGGCAGAATGGAAATCGCCGAATGAAAACCTACTAAATCTTCAAGTAAATTTCTGCTTATATGTTGGCTGCAACGGGCCCCATATCTGCAATCGCAATCATGGTAACATAAGTTGTTCTCCACCAAAGCGCTTCGACTCACCTGATTGTTATCATCAGTAATGCCACTTGGCTCCACGTAGAGACGTATGGGTCGGACGCCGGTGTCCCCATATTGTCCATATATCGTAATTCGGGGCTCAGCCAAACCATGAATGGTACCTTTGCTTTGAACATTGATACGGGAAGATGGAATCTGCAGTTGAACTCGTACAAGGTAGTTTACTACACTTAAATAGGGCGAAATTTGACTAGCTAAGAGTAGAAGTTGTTGCTTTGGTGCAGCTTTATCCTTTGTGTTGCCAACAACATCGTGCCGTGATAATGGAAAATCTGTGGCCCGATCAACGCCTTTTGTGGTGTAGGAGACAAGCTGCTCCCGAGCCAGATGGTAACGCTCAGTCGTCTGGACTAAGGGCCTGTATAAGAAGTCGAAGATTGTAGCCTCTTGACTTGAGATGTGGCAAAAATGTATCTAAACATGTGGGAATAATCAAAATATATTTTATTTTATCTCTACCAAATCGTTCAAATTCTATACATCACAAGACCAAGAAGATAAGAGCGAACGTTAGTTTTGATTATTTTGTAGCAAAATTTTGTATAAATACAAGAATTTGTCTATAAAGGCAAGCA